GAAAATACTAATGTGTTTGACATTCCATGTTAAACTACTGTCATGTTCAGCTTCATTGCATTTAATGTAGACCTGGTCCATCAGATCTTGTGTTCTGGAGAGTGTTCTTTATTCAATAAAGTTTTAATTTAGTATAAAGATTAAAAAAAAAAGAGGTAGACACCAGGTACAGACAGACTTGGGGTAGAAGCATTTCTGAAGAGGGAGGAACTGCTCAGCTCATGCTCTGGGGATTAATGGGTCACCTCTTTCCCAAAGACCTCAGATTAGACTAACACTTCATCTCAGGACTCAAGATTCACTGAGTGAGGGTACCCTCCACCATCGGGCCAAGTCAGTCAGAAACAAAAGACAGACAGTAGTTAATATTTGGTACCCTTGAGAGCTATTGGTGTCAGACTTTGGACATGAGACCTTCGTGCACCTGAGTGTGGCCCTGTGAACTGCCTTTAATTGTCTCAAGCCTTCCTCTGTCCCATGCACCAACTTTCTCCCTCAGGAAACTGAAGCAAGTCAGGACCCCCATGCTCACATCTGGGTGAAGGGGGAGATCTGTATAGGAATGGCTGGGGCAAGGTCTGTCCTTCATGTCTGGACACTGAATCAGTGGTTCAAATGGCCACTTGTTCATCCATGAGGTGAATCCCTGTTGATTCTCCTTTTTAAAGAACCTTATAAAGAGGAAGATCTCTTTCTCTTTCCTTTAGACTCAGTGAGTTGGAGAGTTAGCCCTTGAATAGTTGCTTAAGATGAAAAACTTTGAATAATTAGCCAGTTTTTTAGACAGTTTGAGGGAAGTGGGAGACCTAGGTAATCAAATCTCAGTCCATTTTTCCCATTACAGAACAAGCCTCCATTCTCTAATTTATATTGGGACCCAATTATATTACAGAAAAAAAGGGAAATTGATTTTAGTTCTCTGTCTTAAACTAACTTTAATTATTTAATATGCACCCAAGGGGTGAGTTCTCAGGGATGTATGCTAAATTACCCACAATCTCCAATGTGGCTTTCTGAAAAGAAAACAGCCTTGGGGTATTCTTTGAAAAGTCTCTAGCCAGAATCAGACATTTTTGTAGTATCTTTGGGATATACTCTATGTGTCCCCATTAGGATAAGACTTTCCAGTCTGTCCAATAATGTAGCCTCTGGGATACTCTTTTAAGTCCCCAACCAGGATTGGACCTTTAAGTCTGTCCCAAATGATCAGTGGTACGAGCATGCTTGTTCCATTAGGCAGTGTTCAGGGTGATTGATAGCCCTTACCCAGCCTCAAGAAAAGAAATAAGAAAAATCCTAAAAAAAAAATAAAAAAAAAATCTGTAAGATCTCAAGTAATCTAGGTACACTCAAGAATTTAAGTTTTCTTATTTTAAATAGTGAAGACACAAAAACTTTGTAGAGAGCTTAGAGGCACTTTGGGATAGGACAAAGTCAGGTAAGTTTTAATTAGAAATTTGTTCCTTAATTGGGATCTACTTTATGTTTTAAACCTAATCCTTACTGTCCTGCCAAATGCCGCTTTTTTAAAAACTAACATTTTGTTTTTCTTTTTCTCCCCCTCCCTAATTAAGGAGGAAGTGTGATTAACTTTCCCATCCTAGGCTGAGTTATCCATGTAGTTCAATGACCATACAAATCAAGGAATGAAGAAATTTAAACTTTAGGGCTGGTTCCTGAGGGCCTAAGAAACTGTGGTCTCTCATGGCCGCACACAAACCATGACTCTTTTCTTTTTTGGGTACCAGGGATTGAACTCAGGGGCACTTGACCACTGAGCCACATCCCCAGGCCGGTTTGTATTTAACTTAGAGACAGGGTCTCACTGAGTTGCTTAGCGTCTCGCCTTTGTTGAGGCCGGCTTTGAACTCTCAATCCTCCTTCCTCAGCCTCCTTAGCCTCTGGGATTACAGGTGTTTGCCTGGCAAACTATGAATCTTGACAGGGTACAGCCTTGCATCTCCTTTTTACAAGCCCCCAGTTTCCCTGATGGTAAGAACTGCAGCCTCTAGGATAAGGACGTTTAGCTGGGGTGGGTAAGGGAGACTGTGAAGAGATGGTTTGGAAAGGGGATGAGGGAGGACTGACCACGAGGTGTGCCTTAGGACTTACAAGTTTTAGCTGAAATTTAGGGTTGGGAGATTATAGCAGAAGCTTAGAGTTAGATTGGCTACTGTGTGTATTGGGTCTGAACATGGTGATTAATAGATGCAGCTACCTTGACTGTCCTGTCAAGGCCAGGTCCTTCCAACATTGTGTCTTGGGTGAACCCTGCATTTGGCAAAACGAAGGGGTGCTCAAAATGCTGGGACACCAATCCTTCATATATGCCTTGAAGATGAGCACTTTATGTTCCCTCTGACCCAGGAATGGAGTATTTTGGCCTAAGGGACTCTCCTGTCTTCTGTGCTTTTATAGACAAGCATTTATCTTAAGGGAGAAAAGGGCTTTTGGCTTAGGAAAGGAGGAAGAGAAAGAATAAGAACATTACCTGTTTAGGTTTCTCAATGTCTGTGGTTTTATTTTTTTCCCCACTATATGGCATAAGAGAAAGAAAGAGCTTTAAAAAGGACCACTGAGCTCCTTTGTGGTTTTAGAGTTCAAAGACTCTTTTCAGATCCCTGCCACCTTATTGCTACCTTATTCCCACATGGCCTAGGGATTTCTCAGCCACCCAGGAAGGGGACCCTTGGCAAATGAGGTGGATCAAGATTAGGCTCTCTGGTCTTTGAAAGTGGAAGAAATAAAGAAAGAGAGAAAGAGAGAAGGGTGGGGAGAGGTGTTTATAGCTATAGGAACTAACGGAATAAGTCAGTCATGACAGAAAATATTTGATAATACTTAGCAATGTCAGTGCTTCTGAAGCCCTACATTTGGGTACCAAGAGATATCATGGGAGAAGAGTTATCTCTGGAGAAGAGTGCAAGGAGTTCCTAATGGAAGGGGGGAACTCAGGACCAGAGAGGCTCTTAACATATGTGACAGAATTTCAGCACGAGCCATGCAAAGGCATAGACAGAGGTTTATTTAGGTGAGGAGAATGCGGGCTGTCTTGGGAGGATCCAATATTTATAGAAGGGCTGTATGGGGGGGCCACACTATAGGTGGATCCATGGTGGAGCTGTATAATTTCATGCCAGTTTTCTTATCCTTGTATATTTCCCTCATTTCATAAGGACATGGGCCAAGGTCATAGACCAAGGGCATGGGCCAAAGTTTACAACTGTAATTTCTGCATCTCAATGTCCTGAGGGTGTTTCCCTTAACATTCCATATTTCTCTCTCCTTATCCTAAATCCCAGCCTCACTGTGGCTTAGCTGGGTGTTTTTATTGTTTTCAACAGTGCTGCCACTTGACCTCTCTGTTCTTCCTGGTGTGGCCACTCATCCCTAAAGCCAGTTGAAGACATGAGCAGTGGGAAGGCAGGAAAGGGGCTTCATTCAGCATGGCCACACAGAGAGGAAGAACAGAGAGGTCAAGCGACCTAATGTCTGTCTAAAGGAGATGACGAGAGCTTTGAGGCTTTAGAGAAAGGGGAATGAGGGCAAAGTATGGTGTTTGCTTAGCTGGCAAAGCAGTCAGTCTTGGTTAGCCAGGGTCTGGTTGGTCATGATCTCATGTCTGCAAGGTCCTGCTGGCTCTGGGCTTGAGGAGGTAATTTGGTTCCATGATGGGATGATTGCACCTGCTCCAGGGGGTAACCCTCATCATGGGGTAATTTGTCCTACTTGGGGGGCAGTCTCATTATGGGATGGTCTGCCTGCGAGGCTTGCTGTTCTAAGATAGGTGCAGGAGAAAATGACTGGGGACAAAAGGACAAGTCAAAAAGGCAAGATGGAGTTAGTTCCTGCAGGTTTAAGGCAGTGACTGGAGACTTATAGGTGTCATTCTTGGGGTTTAGATCAGGACAGTTGACAATCTCTTGATTATGAGGACGCTTAGTACTCTTGTCTTGGTACCTTCAGCCTTGACGGGGGAGGATCACTAGCTTTAAATGAACACTCTTTAAATGATTAACTTGTCTATGTGCAGAGCTGAGTGGGAATCTGACCCAGAGTATAAGACAGAAAGAAAGGAGACAGATAACAAATGAAGGCAGACATGCCAAGTTTTGTCGGCTTTTGTTACCACAGGACATTTGCAGGCTCAAGTGAAGCATCGATGCTTTTCGCAAGAGAAGCCTCTAAGTCTCTGTTCCAGTGCCAGCGCTGTTCACCCCTGCCTTTAACCTCTCTTCTTCTCTCCACAGGGTTGCCATGGTCCTTCCCTGGATGGCTGGGAAAAGGTTTCAACTGGCCTTATGTAAATCTGGAGCTGACTGCCTACTACATCGTGAGCTGGATTTTGGGTGCCAAGCGTTATCATGATTTGGACATTGATTATATTGGAGTTAGTAGTATATTTAAAATATTCATTTTTGAACATTTGTAATTTTTAAAAGTAATTTGGTTCTGTAGCACTTTGTTGACTAACCATTTTGTGTCATGAGACTAATTTGTTCTTTTTTTCCCCCCATTCAAATTCTTCCCACTTTTAAAAACTGTACTGAATGTATACCTTCTCTTAACTGTTTACAAAGTTTTTTGTTTTTTTATGCCCACTAACTCAGCTTCTCCATCTTCCAAGCCTTTCGTAATTTTTCTAGTTCTTACCAATACTGTGTTTCCTGTATAGCTTCATAATCATTCTTTTTTTTAAAAAAAATTTTATTTGTCAATGGACCTTTATTTTATCCCATAATTATTCTTATTTTATTGCATGAGTCTTTTGTTATTGTCCTTAACCAGGGATTGACAAACTTTCTTAAAGGGCCAGCACACAAGTGTTTCATGATTTGTAGGTCAAAATGCAGTATTAAAGATATTTTTATGGTAATTATGTATCTATTTAAAATGTAACCACTTAAAAGTAGAAACCATTTTTAGCTCTCAGGCTCTGCAAATACAGGTGGTAGCTAGATTTGGCAGGCAGGCTGAAATCTGTCTCTTCCTGTCCTAAACTTTACTTAACATCTTTTAATGATTTAAAAACTATAAAACACGATGTTGTAAAAAAAAAAAAAAACCACGATATTGTGTGTCTCTAGAGCTAATCTGTTGGCAGACTGGAGGTGTGTCTCAGGTTGCATGGTACCCTGCATAGCTCATTCATATGCAGAGTAGATTTCCATAAGCATTTGCTTATTAATATGCCATCTACCAAAGGATGTTTTAAATTTTATGCAGTTATGACTTAGATTATCAGTAAGCATTTACCCAATTCCTGCTGTTGCAAAACTAAATATTCCAGGGATACCAAGATTAATAAATTCTTTAGTTCGGTGAGCAAGGGACACACTGTATCACACAACTGCATGAGAATGAACAACGGCTGTAGGAAGCCAGAAACACAGATGTACTTGTTTTTGCTAGCCTTTTCCAAATTACAACTGAAAGTTAGTCTGTATTTGAGAACTTAAATGTCAAGGCATTTTAACCCACAATGAGACAGAACGTAGGATTGGAACCAATAGCTTTCAATTATGTCACACTCATCTTTAGAAAATGTTTCTGGTAAATAGTGGGTGACTCACACTTGATAATCACATGCTATGGTGAGGAATTTCTTTGATAAGGAATTCTTTATAGTACCAGGACTGTAGGCTTTTCTCAGTTATTGTTCTGAACTGCAAAATAAAAGTCATAGAAGTTCTCTTTCATTGTTGAGCCCCCATGCTTCGTGATTCTAACCTAAGTGATTTGTGTGCGATTTTTGTCCCTCGGTTTTCTTTGGGGATCTAGCACAACCTTGTGATTCTCTGTGTGCTTAAAATCTTTTCCTGTTATGATGTCCTAATTAATGAGTGACTTTCAGGTATGCCTGTAGGGATCTTGTCAGAATTATTACAATACTCTTCACATCTGTTAGTTCTCCAGTGCCTGCTATAGTCCTGGCATACCTTGTATCATTAATATTTGGTGTGAACATACTTTTTATATACAGAGTTATGAAAAATTGTGCTGTGAATGGATAATTATGATTGTAATGCATTCCACTATTGTCATGTATGTAAGAAATTTTAAATAATAAATATTTATTTATTGAATATCGAATTAATGTATATTCCATTGTTGGGACCATCTGGAACAAAGGGATTTTTGAAAAATAACCACCAAATATTTTGTTTTTAAGAATAATATGTGAGTTTAAAGGAGTTATATTGTCTTATAAATGTTTCTAAAATATATGGCAGCAGATTCTATAAGGTAGGAAAAAAGGCTTATCAAATAAAATGAAAGTATGAGAAATAACATCTTAGCATCTACTTTCTGATACTTGAAAACTTTCAATTTAAACTTATTGGCTTTTTATTTTATAGATTTGGAATGAAAGATCATTTGATAGCAATTATATCAAGGTATGTACAACTTTAATATCTTTTGATCTTTAAGTTATTTGTGAATTTCAGTGGTTCCATATACCTAGAAATTAGTAGGAAATTTATAGTAGAAACACATTTATTTCAGCACGGTTTTTTATTTTGCTAATTGTGACATAAAATTAAAGTAGAATCTTAAGTATACAATCTTGATATTAAAGTATATGTAATTCTCTGTAATCTCTGAATTGTCTTTATCTGAAGAGTTGGGTGGGATTTTCCTATTTTAAATTTTATTAGTTTTGTGGGGTTGGGGGCATAGCTCAGACTAGAGTGCATATTTACATGCACAATCTTCAGGATCAACACAAAACAAAACACAACAAAAAATAGATTAGTTTTAAAATAATTATGTCATTTTAGACCTTAAGGACTTAAGAAATTTAGCTTTTTCTTTTTATTATTGTTAAATAATATGTAGCATATATTGTCATTCTTCTTTTCTTTGAAATGCCTGTTATATTAGAGTGTACTATATATAGTATATTTCCATTTGTGATTAGCAAAGAGGTAGCACCTAAAATTTGCAAACTGTTTTATTTTTGAGCAACTTTTAAAAATTATTTCAGTTTAATTTTTATAAGCCCCCTGGCGAGGCATACTATCATTTTTATTTTTCAGGAAAGAAAAAACTGAAAATATTAATTCTTGTCATAATAATAACTCCTGCCTTTTGCATAAAAGGTAGTTTCACTTTTCAGGTTGAGCGAGTCTTAGGTTATTTTTCGGATTTATTTGTCTTGTCTATGTCACTTTTCCTTAAGAAATACAATTTTGTGGTAATATTTTATTTTAATTCTTAAATTTTTTATTTAATTTGGGTATTTAATATTTTTAAGCAGATAATTTCAATATGTTTATTTTGTTTATCATTCAATCCTTGAGTTAGCAAACATTTGTTTAATACCCAGTGTGTCAGGCATTGACCTGCCTGGAACACAGGGTAGGGAATATCCATTCTGCCCAAAGGAAGTCTGGGCAGTGGATAGACAGTCAGATAGAGACAACTAAAATAT